CCTCCCCGGTCGAGCCGACCCATTCGTGCCACAACTATACTTCTAATATAACTGCAGCATGGCTCTACCACGTACAAAATTATGGCGTATAATGTAATGATTACAATATTTTCGTTGCGATATTGTCAAAGAATCGTTATTTTTGTAATATTGGCGTACGGAAAACGCACGTTGTGCTCCGGTGAAGGACGCCATGCCACTAAATTCCCATCGGCCGCTCTTTCATTTCGTAACACCGCCGCCCCGCCCCGCCGCCGCTCTCCGACGCAGCTACCGATTCAAAAGTTAACGGACTTTTGGTCCAACCTGTATTTAACCTGAGTAACCCGGCTAAGTAGATTAAATTGCCGAAGGGTCGGTCTCCTGTGCGGGGCATCTTTGCTGACCGACTGTAGTGTGTACTTGCCGTATAGTGTAATTGTATTTAATTTAATTTAATTAATTTGTATTTAGTAGTGATGCCATCGCACAAGCCACCGGCGCTTCGCCTGCAGGCGGAGCTGCGCTGGGCCGCGAATGCCCATACCTTGATAGGGCGACCCGATCGGGTTAGTTTAGAGAAGCGGCTCGAGCAGGTCATGGTCCGAAGGACCGTAGTGGAGGATGCCTGCACTGAGCTTTTGGCCTGTGATGCGGAACAGGGAGTCCTAGGCTCCTGCCTCGCGGAGTACGAACAATTCTTTTCGCTCACGGACGACTTGATCGAGGCGGGGGCCAAGTATGCTATTGAAGCGCGTGAAGCTCGGCTGAGTGCCCTGCTCGAGTCCCCTCGGAAGCAGCCTACTCAGTCGGAGCTGTTGGGACGACTCCCAACTCTGGACCTGCCAAGGTTCTCCGGGTTCCTCTCCGACTGGCTGACCTTTGTTGGACTTTTTGATAGTCTACTGGACACCCGGAGGGACTTGACACCAAGCCAGAAGATGGCGTACCTCCTGGCCTCACTGGAGGGGGAGGCCCTGGGCGTCGTCGGCCATTTGAAATTGTCGGACGACGCCTACCAAACCACTCGGGACCTCCTCGCAGGAAGGTACGTCAACGTCCAGCGAATTGCGGACAAATACGTTAAGCAGCTGCTAAACCTCCCGCTGCTGAAAGACCGGGCCAGACTACGTCCGGACATCATAAATCCAGTCTTGGTGGCCTGTAATTCGTTGAGGCGGCTGGATTTACCAGTGCACGAATGGTCCTTCTTGTTCGTCTGCCTGCCTCCTCGCCTGCCTCTCGATCTTCGGATCCATTTTGAGGAGAGGTACGGCGGGGACGGCGCCTCCTATATTCCGCCCTTCAGGAACCTGCTGCGGTTCTGGAGGAGCAGCGCCGGCAAATTGAGAACACAGCGGGCACCGTCGACGACCAACAGGCTGCTAACCGCGCCGTGCCCAGGGAGAGGCGGAATCCACCGGGCAAGTCGTCGCCAACCCCCCCTAAGACCGAAATAAATGACTCGATGATGAGCGTTGTGAAGCCTTGATGCATTGGACCCGTATGGTCCAAGCGGAGCATTTTGAGCCCATGATTGAAACTTTGAAGCGGGAAGCTTTTTTTACAACTGAAATTAAATTAAAAAGTAATCTATATTTCTACTTAAATTATACTAACTAAAAATAATAATTATGCCTACCTACTGTACTAAATAATAAATCTCTTCGAGAATCGAATTAGCTCTAATGCCCCAGCTACACGCTCCGTCTTGCCTGCACAATCCAGGCCAGTGCAGTCATGACTGTACAATGGCTCGTGCAGGTAAGTTTGTGTAAACTGGACTGTGCAAACTGGACAGTGCAAACCTCAAAGTGTTAGAGCTAGTCACGTCACGATGTGGCCAGAAGAGGTTTTTTTTTAAACGGAGCCTTATATTAATGTTTACTTGTAAAAAAGCAACAAATAAGAAAGTTAGTTTTTCAATTAATAAATGATAAGCTTCATTTTTTTTTGTCACTTTCGGAATATTCCTTACTTTTAATTTTCCACAACGCCGGCAACAATTTGTACAATTCTACGAATTCAGTTAAAAAATCCCTGGAATGATTGCGTACATTTCTCATTTTTAAGATTTTATAACATAACATGTGTCGTCAACAAGAATTTAGACGGACTGAAGCGCGTCTTGAATAACCGGCCACACGCTCAAGTAAGCTCGCAGGCAAAACCATGCAAACCAAGCCCGCGCAGTCCAATCTTTAGCACGTCAACGAATTACGCAGATCGCCTGCGCGAGCCACCATCTTACCGTCCACACGCACGCGCTTACCTGTGCAAACCAGTTTGTGCAGGCATGCTCACAGGCAAGACGGAGCGTGTAGCCGGGTATAAGAAAGGACGCAAACTGAACATAACCGTCAACGACGTCTGCCCTCTGCGTCCTGCCCGCGTTCAGGTCGCGCATTCGGCGATCGGGCGCGTCATTGCTTTGACAGCCGCTCCACCCCCGCTTTGGGTTAGTGCTCCATTCATGTCAATCTTATCGTGATAACTTTTAAACTATTCGTCTAAATTACTTTGTGTAAAAGACAAAGTTCATCTACATTAAATATTGAAAGCGACAAATGTATCAATTTTGATAATAATGTGATAAATACTCTAATCTAATTTGATAAAAAAAGTATCAAATTTAATTGTATTTATGGCTCACTATTTGGATATAATTGCTTCCACATAAAAGGTCACACAAACACAAACGATCCCACGGTATATTATCTTCGTGTAACTCCAACGGTTTAGGCAGCGCACGCCAAGATAGCTCTCAGAAGGCAGGAATTTTTCCGACTTACTTGATACTTATCGTTATATTATGGCCAAATTACACAAAATCTTTATAAATTGTAGCCTATGTATTATTCTGATGTATAAACTATATCACTGTAACATTTCATCTAAATCCGTTCAGTAGTTTTTACGTGAAAGAGTAACAAACATCCATTCATCTATCCTACAAACTACATTCTTACAAACTTTCGCATTTATAATATTAGTAGGATCTACATTGATGGATATATACAAAATTATACTACATGAATGTTATTTACAGAAAAAAATCCTTTTTTAACGATATCGCAGTTATTGTTCAAAATGTCCACCGTTTCTTTCTAAACACAAACTAGCACGTCTTTGTAAATTGTTTGGTAAGCTTTGAAGCGTGTCTTTATGCAATTTTAATCATATTAAATGCTGCTTTAAATCACTAACACTTTTTGCTTCTTCTGTGTACACTAATTATTGTTTAGTTAGGTCTGGTGATCTCGCCGGGCAATTCACAGGTTCACTGCGACCTATCAAACTATCACCGAATTGGCTGTCCAGATATGCACGCACATATTGTTCGTAATGAGTTGAACATACGTCATGCTGGAGGTACATTCCTTGCAGATGGCTCAGAGGAACGTTTTCCAACATTGTGCCGTTGACTGAACATACCATTTGCAGATACGTTACTCCCGTCAATCGACTTTCAATCCATATTGGACCAATAATTTAGTCGTTAATGATTGCCGCTCAAATATTAACACTGGAACGAACTTGATGGGCATATTTTGTGAATTTGTGTGCGTTTTGTAAACTCCAGCAGTGCTCATTGTGCACGTTGCAACTGCAACTCCAACGCGGATAAATATCGACTTATCGCTCTTCAAGATGATAGCCGACGCATGGTCCTAAAGCTAAGGACAAAATTTCTTGCGAGGTCCGCGGTCGGCCACATACAAAGCTTGCACGCATGAGAAATGGTATGGATGCATAGTCATTGAATGAAGTGGCTTTTATACCACATACTGGCTTACGTCAAACCGACAAGCGGCTTGGCGAGTACTTCTTCTCGGGCGTTGTTGGAAGTAGTTCAAAATGACGTATTCAATGTGTCTGGACAAGGGTGGTCGGCCCTTGCCTCTGGCATAGCTGGAAGCCGAAATATGAAGCCGAAGCCGCAGATACGTTCGTAATATTAAATCAGTGCTGGGAATTTGAGGAGCAGTTATACCACCCCTCCGTAACGAATTCAGGTGTTCTTCTTCTGCGTGCATTCGTCTCGCACTGCTTAAGTTTTCACCAGACGAGATATAAAATCTCATCGTTGCTAGTTACTCGACTTTAATATAATCGCAGGCAAAAGCTAATCGGAGGTGACTGAAATGCCGACCGCATTCTCGTCTTATCTCGTCTCATCCTTGCGAAAAGACATCAAAGTGGCATACGACGAGTACGGCGAATGTTGGTTGTCTACAATGGATAGCATTACGTTACTTTATTGATTTTATTGCCGTTTGTAAAGAAGGGTGCGTATGGTTTGAATTTCGATAGTTTTTTATTGATTTATTTATTAATTTCAAAACTTTTGTTTTTATTTTTAGTATGGAAAGCTAACTTTAAATTACAAGTATCTATTGATAGATCATTTTCATATGTTCTTCTACTCCACTTACCTTTTACACCCTATTTTTTCAGACGGTAAAATGTCATTCAGTATACTTATCCAAAGAGTAATTTTGGCGGAAAGACCAACAATGGATGGTTGCTCCTGTTTTATCGTTCAATTAATGCGTTGAAGAGGGTTTTTACGCTTAATTATGTTGAAATTTTTGCGTATTAAACGTTTGCCCATGTAAACTATAGTGGAAATAGTGTAACAAGTATTTCAATAGTAATATAAATCTCAGGTTTATTATCCACTAATAAACCTTAAGACATTATCTTCATCAATTATCCGCTAGGTTAAGTCATTGTTAAAATTTTGCAGAACTTCGCATTGTTATGCATCTGGAAAATGCGAACAGTTACCGAAAAAAAATTATAAATGATACTTAGCTGTATGGTCCAAATCCTTTGCCTATCTCAATAGTCGCATTGTAACAACAATAACAACTTAACCAACGAATTGGAACTTGTTCAAAAACAAAATATTTATGCCGTCAAGTTAGTTTTAAAAATTATTGGAACTGCAAATAGGAAACTTTTGGAACTGCAAGTAATAAATAGATAATCAAAGATTTTAAGAATATTAGATAATAATGCAAAAAACGAAAAAGAAAAGGGGCAATGAAGAACCAATGGAAGTTGATGAAAATCCTGAAGTTCAAAATGGTGAAATTAACGGCAACAATGATCTTATGAATGGGGAAATTGATCACATTTCTGACGATGAGGAAGGCGGAGTTCGTATCGGCGATATTTACATACCACCAGCACCTAAACCAGCGCTTACTTTTGATGCCAATGGCCCTAGATTAATAATTACCCAAATTGTTAATGAAAATTTTAAAAGCTACGCCGGAGTGCAAACATTGGGGCCTTTTCATAAGGTAAAACAATTTTTCGCTCACTTAGGCTATTCGCTATTCAAAATAAGTATTTTTCATTAAAATAATTAATTTAAAAAAAAGAGTTCGTTCTTTTCATCTTTTATTCAAATTATAAGTTAGAAATTGTTCCGGGAAGTTTGTCTTCTCTGTTTTGAGCCCAAATTTGAAATAACTAGCCAAGAATAAAACTTAAGCACTAAGCTATGATTTTTCTTTACTACTCCTGCTTTTTTGACATTAGCATACACATTTGATTTGTTGCATTTAGTTGATGCAAGTTTGTGATATGGTTACATAAAATTTAAATACTTTTATTTATGTACTTGTATACAAAACTAAAAAAGCAAATTATTGATGTTTCAGCAGTGTAAGACTAATTTTAATATGGTTTATCATGGTTTGCAATAACACCCATAACAATACTTAATCTCTTTTATTGTTGTTATTATACTATTGTGTGATTATAATATTAATAATAATTAAATAGTTACACACTTGTATCAGGTGAATCAATTGAACCAATGAATGAACACAGTACATACAAATACTTGGGTTTTAAACAGTCCAGACAAATTCAACAAAATATCACAAAACAAGGCATCTGACTGCTGAACTCACATTGCCTCAGCCTTATCTTAAAAACCAATCTAAATTCTATAAAGACTATTAAAGCCATCAACACATTTGCAGTACCTATTCTCACCCATCATCATCATCATCATCATCATTACAGCCCTTCACAAGTCCACTGCTGAACATAGGCCTCCCCCAAGGTATGCCACAAAGTAGGGTCCTGAGCCACCTGCATGCATCGACTTCCTGCTTGTCATACCAGGTCATCACTCCATCTAGTGGGGGTCGCCCTACACTTCGCCTACTGGTACGAGGTACACACTCTTTCGGAATTATACAATGGTCAAAAACTGATATCTAAAAACTACAGCGCACACTCAAGAAAATCCTCATACCACACCAAGAAGAGGGTAGAGGATTGAAAGACATACACAATTTACACAACAAACAAATACTTTCGCTCAGAGCGTACTTCCATAACAAATCAGAATATTCATCACTACACAAACACATAAAGGAAACCGACAAAAAACTTACACCACTTAACTTACAGAACAAAAATATTCAAAATGAACACATTTTGCGAACACAACAAAAGATTGCAGCATGGTTTGAAAAAGCCATACATGGAAGACATCGAGCCTACCTGAGCTAGCCACATGTCAATAAAATTAGGTTGAACACATGGCTCGAACGAGGCAAACTAATCCCCAAGACAGAAGGTTTTATGCTATGCTATATTTACATAAAACACATCATAAAAGACTCCAACCAGACCACTGACATATGTAGACATTGCAACAATGCCTCTGAAACCGTACAACATATTACAGAAGCATGTAAATCACTTACACAAAAGGTTTATAAACATTGCATGACAAAGTTGCTGTAATCATACACCAATACTTAGCATACAAATATAAATTCTTAGATAAAAAGCAGCCATACTATAAATAGAAACCTAAAACAATATTAGAAAGTAAGAATCAGAAATTATTGGGTGTGTGGTGTTTTAAACTCTCAAAGAAAGAGAAGAAACATAAAGATATCATATAATAATAACAATTTATTTCGGACCATGATCCATATTCCATATGGGTTAGTAAGCATAAACACTCACGCCTGTCACCCAGAGGGGTAGGCAGAGACCACGAACTTCCATTTGACACGATCCTGACATACCTCTTTCGCCTCCTTCACATCCATATATACGCATACATGCTTGTCGGTTAAGGGTACTTTTAACGTGGCCCATTTTCAAAATATCGCCAATTTGGTCGATAAACTTTTTTCTAGGGCGTCCCTTCCCGACTCTGCCGTTCACATCTGCCATATAAATTTGTTTTGTGACTCTTTCCTCATTCATTCCTTCTACATGACCGAACCACCGAAGCATTCCTTTCTTAATCCTGGTCACAACATCATCTTGCATACCACATTTATCTCTTATCATGCAATTTCTCATCCTGTCATTCAGATTCAAATGGGTTAGTAAGTAATTTATTAACCATTATGTTAGTAACAACATTAACTAATGTTAATTGTTAATGTTAAAATTAATGTTACAGTGAACCCCCAGTAATCCACCAAACATTTTGCAGGGCAGTGTCGGATTATAGAGTACTGCCTAAGACCCCCTATAGTCCGGATTTTTTTACAAAAGAGTACCTTGTAATCTGACAAATTACAGATCCAATGATAAGATTCTGTATGTTATATATATGTACATATAACATAATGATGTATGATTTGTACTGAAGTACAAATCATACTTCAATATGTATGTCAAATTTAGTAAATTAACACAATAGAGAGCTAATGTTTTATTATAAAATTAATGTCATGAATGCTATACAACTTACAAAAAATATGCAATAACTAATGATTTCTTATATTTACGCGAACACTATACATGATCCGTAAAAGTAGTTTTAATCATGCAATAACTACATTATGAAATAATTGTGTACAAACGTACATACTAAAATAATCAAAAATCATGAATCAATCAATTTAACAATAGAGTGCACGCGCCCTTAAATACTCCTTGAGCGCACGCGCGGGCTACATGTGTAGACCAGTTACGGATCAATTATTTCTCTTTCTATAAGACAAAACAGTGAGTAAAACACAGCATATAGTTACTAAACATCTTTATTTTTATCAAAATGTCTCATAAAATCAACAAAATTTTGATTCCTAAATATAATTTGAAACTTAAACATAAACCTCTCAAAATTCAACAAATATTTGGAAGGGTTGAGATCTCTTATTCTTATTTTCATTTAGGAACGTAATATTTATCATTTAAGGTGTTTATTTGGCCTAATTGAGTCTATAATCAAAGTAACGGTTACAAAAATCAGCCTATTGGTTTACATTCAGAACACATGACTGAATGTAAGCCAATAGGCTGATTAATAGGCATTTGCTGCTTGTTAGCGCGTGCTACGGTCACGAGCCCTGCTGTAAAAAGGCATATTTTGTTCTAGGGGTTGTTCTGCCAATCTTAGAAGTAGTCTGTATTTCAGTTCAATATATTCGAGTATATTTTGTTAGGATATACGACTCTCATTAGAAGGTCTTGCAAGATCAAATTCGACGTCTAGGAGGTATTGACGACGGATCACTTTCATTTGATGGTTATTCATCTGATATATCACCAAACTATTTATGCCCGCCATGTTTACAAAATTATATAATATCGTGAGAGGCCATCGGTGACTGTTGCGAGAAACGTCGTATTGTCTACACATTTTATCAAAAATATCGACGCCGTATTTATGTGATTATAAAATGTGATGATTTCAGGTTTTCTAGCATCGTCAGTCACAGCATCAATTTTGTCATCATTGTGGAGGGTAGACAATAACAATACTCGCTCAAAATGTCGTATTCATTATTCTCCAGCAGCTATCGTATTTAGATGCACACTCTGATCGAGCTACCCGCCATTTAAAAAGTGAACATAACAGAATAAAGCTACATGAAAAATCGACAAATACCAACAACAAACACTTAAAATTTTAATTAACGATTCGTTTTGTAGTAATACTGCAAGATATGTTTTATTTACCTCAATTTCACCACTTGCACACTAAACACTTAATTTCCTCCAATGCTCGCGCGGGCTACAGGTGTAGCCCACCAATTTCAAGGACGATTTTTGCGAACACCCAGAGCCGCAGGAGTCGGTACGCTGCTGGCGGTAGCGGGGGGTAATACTTGAGGAATACACTAGACGATTGCGCTGTAACGCGGCAAGTTAAAATGGTATATGATAATATTTACACGCTGGGTTACATATGTAGCCCTGGGTTACATAGTATCAAGAAACAATAATGCTTTTTGAGGAAAATTATGATCTTTCCACCATTTTCAGAACCAAATTGCTTCAAGAACAAATTGGATAAAATCTCCAAACATTATGATGCACACGCATCAGCTTTTTTAGCTGCTAGTGTGTTTATGTATAAATAATAATACATAATAATAAATTTTGTGTCATAAATAAAACAATACCCTAGGCGTCGAGTACAATAATGGTGGTGCATACAAGTTATAACTTTTTCAATCATGGATTACCAAAGATTGTCAAAAAAATATTCAAAATAAATAATAGACCATTTCAGATTACAGGGGGTGCCGGATTAGACAGGGGCCGGATTACCGACGGTCCACTGTAATTTATTAATTATGACCAGAACATATACAGTATGGTCAAATTGTAACCATGCTCTGCTGAATATTTAGTAAAGTACAATATTTCATTGATGTTGTGTTTAATTGCAAGAGAGCAAGTTAAATATCTGCTCTCACACTTTTATTTTAGAGAAGTCTTTTTCTAACACAGCACTTTTTTAGACCTTTTGTAAGCCATCTATTCGGCAAGATTTGATTAATTTTTACTTTTATTATAGGAAAGCACAGATTAAAAAATAGTATTATAAGATCATGGAATATTTCAAATGATTTATTGAGGTGGATTTCCTCATAAACTTCACTGAATGACAAGCTTGATATACATATGTTTGAATTTATTTAGATTTTCCTTGCTATAGTCACGTCTAAATTGAAATAAGTTTTTAATGATCTTTCTACTTTTTTCTTTAATATGAATTATTAATGTTTGTGCTGTGTCATAGTCCGATAGTCCTAAATTATGTGTGCTGCATATAACATTTGAAATATTTAAGTTAGATGCTATTTGATCAATAGATGATTTATTTCTTGTAGGTTGATGTACATGAGTAACTAAGTTATAATTATGATTAAAACTACTTTTACTGATTTTATCGCGTTTATTTTTACTTTTTATTTTTAATTCCCGACGTTTCGGGCGCTTTCCAGCACCCATGGTCACGGGGGACTGAGATGACTGACGTCCCGATGTCATTGTTAAACCCGGAGTACACCGGAGTACTGTAGTGTTGAGGACTGTCTGTATAAAAATAATATTGGTAATGAAGATTTAGAGGCCATACGTCAAGACATCTCGTCTATGTTACGTCGAAGTTCAGCGCCGAAATTAAATCTCCCCAAAAATGAATTTAACGCGTTGAAAAACTTACGCAACAGACCAGAGCTTACGATTCTCCGCGCAGATAAAGGTAATTCTACGGTTATAATGGATACGTCAGATTACAATTTTAAAATACAACAACTTTTGTCGGATGAAACTACTTATCGAAAGGTCAAAACAGACCCTACAACTAATACGCTTAAAACAACTAGCGATCTAATTAAGAAATACTCCGAAAAATTGAATCTGGACGTTAATTCGATAATACCTTCCTGTGCCAAACCACCGAAGTTGTATGGGTTACCAAAGATACACAAACCGAATGCTCCATTACGTCCAATAGTGAGTCAGATTGATTCGCCAACTTACAGATTGGCTCAATACTTAGCTAAAATATTATCACCACTCAGAGGACACACAAGAGCACACACTAAGGATTCATACCATTTTGTCAGTGAGATAAAAGACCTACATCTTACTGACAATGAAACCATGGTCAGTTTTGATGTTCAGTCTCTATTTACATGCCTACCTGTTGAAGACTGCATCTCAATTATAACTAGGAAACTAAAGGAAAATAACATGCCAGCAGAATATGCAGTATTACTAAGACATTGCCTTACATCTGGCTATCTATTGTGGAAGGAAGAGTTTTACAAGCAAGTAGATGGTGTGGCGATGGGCTCACCTGTATCTCCCATTGTCGCCGATATATTCATGGAAGACTTTGAGGAGAAAGCCCTCCTTACTGCACCTGTTACACCAAGGATCTACAAGCGGTACGTAGACGATACTTTCACAATTTTACCATCAGACAAAGTAACTGCATTTTTTAGAACATCTTAATTCCATAAACGCTAAAATTCAATTTACTATGGAGTTAGAGGCAAATAATTCCTTACCTTTCCTAGATGTATTAGTCATCCGAAATCCTAATAACACCATTGGTCACACTGTGTATAGGAAAAAGACCCATACAAACCGATATTTAAACGGTGAATCTCACCACCATCCTTCACAGTTAGCTACCGTGGGCAAATCTTTGTTACAGAGAGCACGAGGGATCTGTGACAGCAAACACCTGGCCGCCGAGCTTCAGCACGTCAAGCAAGTTCTGCACGACAACAAGCTTCGGGTCCCGCGCCTACGTCACAGTGACCGAGTGAAGCCGGCCACAGTCGAGCGTGTGCCTGCTGTACTACCATATGTCAGAGGTGTCACAGACAAGATTGGCTATATCTTGAAGCGAGCTTCTATTAGAACATTCTACATGCCGCCGAAGAAGATTAGTCAGTTCCTACCATCCGTCAAGTGTCATATTCCTCTACAAGATGCAGGAGTGTACAAGCTTGATTGTGAATGTGGTCTCTCTTATATAGGACAAACCAAAAGATCAATTAGGACCCGCGTAAAAGAACATATAGCTGATGTGAAGCATCAACGTTCCGGGAAGTCTGCAGTTTGTGATCATATCCTAGACGGCCCCAACCATTACATCAGATTTGATAGACCACAAATCCTCGCGAAAGAACACCGATTCCTACCAAGGATGATACGTGAGGCTATTGAATTTAAAAAACATCCTAATTTCAATAGAGAAGGAGGCTGGGTACTACCACCTGCTTGGGATCCTATAATCAATAAAATTAAAACTAAACCCAAGCATACCACTGCAAGACCTCAAGACATAGTCAGTTCATTTTGCATAGATCGGACCATAAACAATAATTAAAAAAGCTGAAGGTACTCCGGGTTTAACAATGACATCGGGACGTCAGTCATCTCAGTCCCCCGTGACCATGGGTGCTGGAAAGCGCCCGAAACGTCGGGAATTAAAAATAAAAAGTAAAAATAAACGCGATAAAATCCGTAAAAGTAGTTTTAATCATGTGCAATGTTCGCGTAAATATGAGAAATCATTAAGTTTTAATTAATTAATATGGAATTTAATTCTCTTGTATTATTATCATTTTTAATATGTCGATATGCCAATCTCCTCACAAAATTACCCTTTTTTATTATTATATGTAATACTGTGTAACAAAAGTCTCTAAGTCTATCGAAAAATAGATTCGCGTTTGAGTTTCATCACAAGTCCACTGCTGAACATAGGCCGTTTGAATTTGGTATACGATAAATACAGACAGTAATAAGATTGTAGTCCAAAAGTTCTATGCCACAACATTCAAAATGGTGAGTGCAAGCTAACTCTTTAGTAATTGATATTGAAGCCCAATTTAGATGGTTTTTTAGTGGTATGCACATACCACCATGTCTTTGTTGTTCTCTGAAAAAATACGAAACTAATTTATATTGCGACAATTTTAAATTACTTTCAGTTCCTCGTTTTATGAATGTTTCACTTAAGCAGATCATATCTATTGCACCTATGTGAGTACCTAATTCAACTATTGTTAACTCGGAACATTTCTAACTTACCTAGTATTCCTCCTATGTTTTGATAGAAAAGACTTAGCGTATTAAAGTTATTTTTACATTGAAATGCATTATTTTTATTCACATAAACAACTTTTATTTAAAGTGGAAGAAAATTCTAGACTGTCGTTTTTTTTGGACGTGTCGCTTATTTTTTCTTTTTCACGTATACATTTACTTATTATAGGAAAGTAGAACGGTATAGTGCCCTTTTGTGGTATTAGTTTGTTTCTTACAAATGTTGTATGAAACAAACTAATACCACACGATCTTTTATGATATTTCGAAGCACTGCAGGCGACAAGTATTTTTTAGCATAATATTGCGAATCTATTACTAAATTATCTTTCTTGCAAATATGGTATAATATTCGCTTGCAAATGCAATGCTTGCTAACAATGACAGTATGTTTAATGGAAAATTATTTTGTTACAGAGTTTCACTGCAATTATTGGGCCAAATGGTAGCGGTAAAAGCAATGTCATTGACTCTATGCTCTTTGTATTTGGTTATCGAGCTACAAAGATTCGTTCAAAGAAAATATCAGTTCTCATACATTCATCTAGCAAGTTTCCTAATATATCGAGTGCGAGTGTTGCTGTTCATTTCTGTCAGATTATTGATGGGGTAAGTAGAAAACTTTTACATGTTTATAATTAACTAGCCCCCCCCCCCCCCCCGTAAGCAAGATAGCTGCAGAAGAACAAAAGTAGCTGACATAGCCCAGCACACCAGTAGGTTGAAGTGGCAATGAGCCGGCCATATAGCTTAAAGCACTGACAATCGGATAAGGAAAGTGCTGGAGTAGCAGCGTTGTGTAGGTAAACACTGTGTTGGGGTTTCCAACCTGACAATCTGATGAAGCATGCAGGTAGTCGATAAATGTATGGATTAGAATTATATGTTGTTCACCAGTATGCTGGTAATGGGCTGTAGTGATAGTGAAAACTGCAACACCTAATGTTGTTCATTTACAATTGTGATGTATGAATAGATATTTGTTTTACTCTAATATCCCCTATATATATATATATATAGTAGATAATGGGGATTATATATATATATATATATATATATATATATATATATATATGTATATATAGTAGATAATGGGGATTATATATATATATATATATATATATATATATATATATATATATATATATATATATATATTATATATATACCATATACGACGGCTGCACTAAAAGTATCGGGAATGGACTATTTCCACTGTTCCTGTCATATTAAAAACTTTTTAATTGAAAACTCCTTGGTTTTAAAATCGAATACATAAATTATTTATTTAAAAAAAAATTCTCGGTCTTGTCACAAGGTTTTGTCAAACTTGTTAAGTCGTTGAGAAAATGGAATTGACTCAAGAAAATTCAAGAGCGATGATTTATTACCACTTTCGAAGTGGCTTAACACAAAAACAGTGTGTTGACCGGATGATTTCTGCATTGATGAAGCCCCATCCAAAACCACAATTTATCGCTGGTTTGCTGAATTTCAAAGTGGACGTGTCAAGCTCAGTGATGATCCCCGTCAAGGTCGTCCAAAAACTGCAGTCACCCAAGAAAACGTTGATGCTGTGCGTAAGCTGATTGAGGAAGATCGACATGTGACATACCGCGAAATTCAGTCAACTTTAGACATTGGCATGAGTCAAATACAAATAATCTTGCATGAACAATTAGGTGTAAAAAGTTGTTTTCCCGATGGATACCGCATTCGCTCTGTGAAGCGCAAAAAGCGGCTCGCGTTACTTGGTGCATCAGAACTCTCGAAAGATTCCACGCAGTATCCTCAAATGCCGTATACAACATCGTATCAGGTGACGAATCCTGGATATACCAATGAGTTCAAAAGGAAGGATAGGCCCATCTAAATATTTACCTCATAACTTTTTCATACAATAAAAAGAAGCGCATCTGTCATAATACAAACGTCATATCAAAACACCACATAACCAGGGTCGGATTTCGTAGTATAATTATCCTAATTGTACCATTATTTCATAGTTTGTAGTACATAGTATCGTAATAATACTAAGCGAAAATACCATAATTTTACCTAAAGGTCGACTTGTATTATTATTGGGTCCTTTTACATTTTAATATTAACCCTACGATATCGAGAATTTCTGTATTGTACATGAGTACCGTGTTTTTAATAAAATTAGAATTAGCTCCCTTTCTGGTCAATCGATGAAAAAAGAAATATGAAACGTCAAACGTGATATAATTTTTTAAATAGCATAATTTTGTTGTACAATATTTTTGACGGTCTGAATCCAACCCTGGCCTAATCTTGGTAACGCAGCTAAACTAACTGTAAAATAAAACTTTAAAAATGCGTTTATATAATCATTTAATTGTAACAAAATTAATATAAGGTTATTAACCGATGATACGATATCCCATGTTTCTTTTAAACCTTTATATCGTAATTTTGCATTATTACCACGCTACCACGCAACTAGACATATTTGTGACAGGCAATCTGTCAAAAAATCAAATCTGTCCTGCGCGCGCACCACTGTCGACCGATTCGCGTTGGCCCTAAACTGTAATTTTAGGGCCAACGCACTAGTCCGTTTTAGTTGTTCAGTCGGCCCGGTCCTTACGCTAGTAATATATAAGTCAATGGGATATACGCGTACGAACCCGAAACAAAAAACCAGTCATGAGTTTGGGTGTTCGAAAATGAGTTAAAACCAACAAAAATTGTTCGTTCACGGAGTGTTGCAAAAAAAAAATGGTGGCCACGTTTGTCTCCAAAACCGGCCATGTTACGACTATTCCTCTTGAGGGACAAAGAAGGGTTAATGCAGAATGGTATGCTAGCATTTGTTTGCCACAGGTCGTTTCTGAACTCCGTAAAGAGAACTGCAACCGCCGCATCATCCTCCATCACGACAATGCTAGTTCTCACACCGCACGCAGAACAAAAGAGTTTTTAGAACAAGAAAACATAGAATTATTAGACCATCCGCCGTACAGCCCCGAACTAAGCCCTAATGATTTCTATACTTTCCCTAAAATAAAGAATAAATTGCGTGGACAGAGATTTTCATCACCAGAAGAAGCTGTGGACGCCAACAAAACGGCCATTTTGGAGACCCCAACTTCCGAATGGAATGGTTGCGTCAATGATTGGTTCCATCGTATGGAAAAATGTGTCTAATAATTCTGTCATTCAATAAAAATAAAGAAAAATAAACTTTATTTCAAGCAAATTAAAGTCTTTGCGTTCGTGGATTTGTACTGTGACCACAACATTCTTCCGGAATTGGTATAACTAATTTGATAAATAATCAGTGCATAAAAATGTTTAACTACAAATTCAGTGTATTTATTATGATTATAACATAATATACTAATTGGGGTGTCTGAGGGTGTGCGTTAATTACGTTACATATTGTATAATATAATTTTTACATTTAAATGTACAATCATTATATATATGACATTACAGACATTAAAAGTAACTATTAAATAAAGTAGAGCCATGTTGCAGCTATGTTGGTTGGTTGGCTAGGCCAGGAAAGGAACATTGTAATCCTCCTGTGTTTTGTATGGTGATTGTAGAGAACTATAGCCCACTTTTTTCTTCTAATGACAAAGATGTTGCTAACAAATAAGGGGAATTTAATGTGTTTAAATAATAACTACTTGTCATTATATTGCAAAACTGTTCACCCTCTGCATTGGAAGACGTTTTCAAGCTACTGAAATATGGTATTAACATCAATGGCGAGTACATCACTCACCTTCGATTTGCCCTTATAGTCCTTATGGCAGAATTGCTGGAGGACCTAAGCACTATCTTATATAAATTACCTGTCATATTGTTTGTCCGCGATGGACTCCTAAACTACTTCACCGATTTTAATCAAATTTGCACACCGTGTGCAGTTTGGTCCAACTTGAGAGATAGGATAGTTTTCTTGCCCATGAGTGACCCACAATTTTTTTCCGATCTTAAGGATTTTTAATAGGACATGACAAAGGGTCGTCGAAAAGGGCAGAACAACGTCTTACTGGCAAGCTAGTAATATATAGGCCTCAATATTGTCTCTCAAAGATAGGTCTTAAGATGAACATGAACAAAACAAAGATAATGTTTAACGTCCATGCCGGTAGTTGTTGGGTGCACTACGCTCGAAGTTGTTGACGAATATGTTTACCTGGGACAAATAGTCCGACTAGGTAAGTACAACTTCAACCGATACGTCAATCGACGGATTCAACTCGGCTGGGCAGCATTCGGGATACTACGACACATCTTCTCGTTAGGTATACCTCAGTAACCTGAAAACGAGATTATACAACCAGTGCGTGTTGCCAGTGATGACTTATGGGATCTGAGACGTAGTCCTTCACTGCTAGCCGTATGAGGACGCTTAAGGTCGCTCAGCGAGCTATGGAGATGGCTATGCTCTGAGTTTCTCTGCGTGATAAACTTAAAAGTGAGGATATCCGCAGTAGAACCAGAGTGACCGACATAGCCCACGGATTAGTAAGCTGAAGTGGCAATGGGCCGGCCATATAGCTCGTAGAACAACAACCGATGGGAAGAAAAGGTTATCATGTGGCAGCCTCGTACTGGTAGGCGTAGTGTAGACAGGTGAAATAGCGCGATCCCCTACTAGATACTACTACTAGATGGAGTGACGACCTGGTAAGACATGCAGGAAGTTGATGGATGCAGGTGGCTCAGGACCATGCTTTGTGACATTCCTTGGGGGGCGTATGTTCAGGAGAGGAATTGTGAAGGGCTGTAATGATGAACCCCAAATGCATACAATACAAGCTAGTAGCTGACAAAGACTGCCAAATGGAAGTCAATCGGTAAATCCATTCCAAAATATCAAACCCAAATCCTACATAATAACTAATCCTGAAGTGGAAAGCAGAAGTACCATTGCGAGTGAAATGAAATCTGATGCTTGTCTGGTGAGAGCCCCTCTTTTTCCAAATTTATAGAGGGCACTCCCCGGCGGCCTACGTTTTGCAGATGTGTTCAAAGGACGCCGCATACAAGGCTAAACATCTCGGCACGCTGAGGTCGCCCCCCGATTTCGGCAACATCAAAGGATTGCTGAACATCTTCAAGGAGATTTTATGGTCCGAATAATCACAAGATTCCTGCGCACACGCAAAATACGCGCTTATACGTAGAGTTGATGCGGGAAACAGCCCGTCGTAAACTAAACTACACTAACCTCGGGCACCCTTGTGAGCAGATTTTGGTGAAAAATCATCAAAATTAGTTCACAATTGACGAAGATATCGCGTAATATACATACAAAAGTTAATGTAGTACCTCTTTTTTATAATAACGGTGACAACGAACACACAGTCCACCTGATGGTAAGTGGATGCTGTGACCCATAGACATCTACATCTGTCCTTGATTAAAAATCAAAATGCAGATGTATTTGTCACCCCTAAAGACTATGATCGAATGCCTCATTTCCAGTTAAAAGGGTCTTCGGTTCTCAGCATTCAGCATACGAAACACAACAGCATAAAGCTGCTATTTTATGCTGGTATTCTATGGAAGAGTGGTCCTTCCCCGGTTGAGATCGAATCGGGGAGGGTCGGACAACTAAATCCGAG